TATTCTTGAGTCAGCTCTGAATGACGTGCGTGGTGGTGGCAAAGATTTCCTTCCTGGAGAAATACTTTTGAACTTTGAATATACAGGCAGTATTGTCCTAGTATGAGATAATTTGCACGCTGCCCAAATGGCACTTATTTAGTTGGTAATCAGTGTCAATAAGTGTGGTATTTGCTTTGTTCAGTCTAAGTGTAAAGTATTGCTGCGAGATTGGCAGGAGCCCATACCTGTGCTCACCTTTGCAGGTGAACCGCTTGAATTTATAGACGAATTCATGTATCTAGGCCATCACCTCAGTGCTGGACGAGGTGTGACGGAAGTCTCTAACGGTAAATTGAAAGCTGGGGTGACGCATGTCCGTTTGAGCCACTTCTGGTTGCGTCAGCACGGATGCTAAATCTTTGGTTTACAGTGTTTCGGTGCATACAGTCTTGCTCTACACTTTTGAAACCTAGTCACTTCGAGCTGAGGCTTTGCAGAGACTATATGTATTCAGTCATCCCTGCATCTGTATAATTGCTTGCGTCCAATGATTCTATCATGTGAGTAATTCTCAGGTCTGACAATGTGTGTTCAAGCAAAGGTAGTGGGTGTCGTTATCTGAAAAGACAGTCTTCAGTGGCTTGGACATGTGCTACCTATGTTATCTCAGAGGCTTCCGTATCAGTTTCCGTTCGCTAGCCCTGGGAGTGGATGGAAAGATTTGGAGAGGTGGTCAGCTTGTGACATGGCACCTAGGGATGAAGGATACTTGGATTAGATTAGCACCAGTTGGTACATCGAAACTCCATGGTTGAGATCCGACAGTTAGTTCGAATCGGTGGCTCTAAACGTTATCACATGTAACCATGAATTGATATTAATGGCGGACGTCCTGAAACTTTCTTCTATCTCCAATTTTTAAAAGTACCATGAAGTGGTGAATGTTCGATCTTGACAAATATGCTTTCCCTATGACTTTCCTAGTTCATTCTCTGCCTAATTTCCTTATAAACTAACGTCCTATTATTTTGTGTGACACACCTCTTAGTGCTCATACTGTACCAAGTTTGAATTTTAGAAGAACAAAAATGAATAACAGGTAGAGCCGTAAACACTCATTGTAGAAGAGACCGAAATTACAACATAACTGTTCACTTTTTCTTGGTTGTCAACAATTCTCCATCTTGCGAGATATCGGTTAAAGAAAAAATTTTCCACATACTAACAAAATGAATAGCATATACTAACCAGTATATTGGAAGTACATAATGACAAGAGATATTCATTAGGAACAAATAGATCACCAAAGAGAGCTCTGTTCACGAGCTCACTTCAAAGCTGTACAGTTGTTAAGGTGTTTATGAGTACAAAGTTAATTGAAAACAAAGGTCAGATGTCACTGCCAGTCAGTAGCAAATATAGATCAAAGCGGATGAGAAATAACAATGCATGAAAAATAGTGAACAGTCTTACATGATGAAGAGGGTTGACAACTAATCAGTTCAATGGTGAATCGTCATTCGGAAGTAAATCATAGAAAACAAGGGAGCAAAAACTCGGAAATGGTTTAAACAAAACGGAAACATTACAGCTTATTGAGTAACAAATCTAGGAAGTGTTTATTATTAGAAATAAAAGACACATTCTAAAAGGCAGGTTGTAGAGGTTTATCCTCTTTTGGAAAAATTATAGTACATCATGCAGACAACACAAGGCACTTAATTTGATAGGTGGGACTAGCAGTAGAATCCAGGGAGCGTTTCATCCTACCCGGGACTCATCGGCTGGATAGGATCCAGTCTCAGTGGAAACACCATCACTCTTTGGGAATCGTGGGTACGTCCAGTCAAGAAGTCCCAAATAGGACGAAACGCGCATTTTGGATTTCACTACGAGTTACCACCCACCAAATTACTTTATTTTTAATTTATAATTGCTTGATTCCACACAGCATTTTTGGTACAACTATGCAATTTTCAGCATGTGTTATCGGTAGCCCGAATTTGGCAGGCCGACCATTGATATCATGTGTGCAGCGGCCGGGGATCCCCATTCTCTAGTTGACAGTTATTTTATCGGGGAACCAGAAGTTGTAATTCGGTCGACGAATGGTGACAGTCTTCATAAACTATGGAAGTGTAGCGGCAGAAGATTGGAGACTTCGTAACAGACCTTTATTAAGGACAAACACAGCGTATTTATATATTCTTAGCCACATCAAAGTTCGGCTAGGTCAGGGGAGAATAAATCGTTCTGATTTGTTAGTAATTAGCCCAAGTTAAAACAAGTTGTCCAATATGGTTATTTCATGTCCACAACGTAAAAATCCAAATTTGAGGAAAACAATCTTATCTCCGCATCCATTAACTTAAAAGGTTGATTTCAGTTTTGGTAGCTTCTTATCAATCTGCCTCACGCCACAGAAGTAGTGTCAGTAGAATGAAACACTGATGATAGAAAACCGAAATGGGAACAGAGGTTATTGAGGAGGACCATTAAAAAAGTGCTGCACGCAAAGCTGAAAGTGTGGCTATAACTAATATTTTGTCTTTCCACCTCATTTCCAGATCGCATAGGAACATAGCTTTTGAATCTTCAGTATAACTGTTGTTTCAGTATGTATCAGAGTCGCGATTACTCATAGATGCCCGTCAGTTATGTCGAACTTCTCGTTGATGTGGTCTGATATGGAGTTATGCAGAATAAAACTAATGAGAATTAATCTGATGCTCAGTATTGAGTACCCACAGGAAAAAGTTATCTGGATTTACAGAGAATTGTTACCAGTGGATTCTACTCGGTCGGAAGTAAGGATAAATGTCCGCTGATGACATTGATTGGTGGTCACTCGAAAGTCACGAATCGGTAGATAATGGAATTCATGGGCCATCGAGTAGGGTCTGAATGGTCCTGCGTTCGAACTACGATGGTGGCTTCGTACTGCCAATAAGTCCCAAACTAGGACAAAACAACTGTTCAGCACTCTCTGTCGGCTTTTACTGTTTCTTTAACAAATCATACCACTACAGATTATCTCATGGAAATAAAACTATCATCTTTAAGTAGAACTCCAATATCATCCTAAAACAGACACAAATAAAAAAAACAGTCGAACACGTTGAGAGGTAGCTTCAAATGAAAGTTGGAGAAAAGTTATTGACCATAGATGTCTTCGTTCACCTGATCGCATTATATAGATGCTGAGATGGAATGTAGAGCGTTCGATCAAGAAGAAAAAGTCAATCGGTAAGGTTGAGAAGCTTGATCACTTATGACTACGGTTTGCAATGCATGTCAAGTCAGCTAACTGGTCAACGGAAAACAAAGGATGTGGTGAGAGCTGTCTACTAGCCAAATTGGTAGACAGTAATTAACGTCAATATTTACGTTCCCAAGATTTGTCGTGAGAAACAACCAATCGGAAGACTGTGTTTGTTTGCTTAAATATCCATAGTCATGTACACGAAAATACATAAATATGCGTTGATTTCCTTAATAAATGATCTGTTGCCTGACTCTTGCCTTCTGTCGTTACAGAATTAGAGGTGTTCAGACCAAAACTTGGCACCATTGAATGACTATTTGTCTTAGCCACTTACTTACCTGTGTGGAGTCCTTACGATCCTAAGAATCATTATAGCTGCAGACTATTTGTGACTTATTTACTCGTTCACAACGTCATAGATGTATTAATTCCTTGTTGCGTCCCACACCCTGAAGACCTCAAGTGGTCTTTCGTTCCTACCTATTCTACCATCATCGCATCCTTGTGCTCTTTCATTATTCACTTCTCCAAGGTAAGGCAACTTAAACTGATTCACTTCTGTGTCAGGTTTATTGATTAGTCAGTCAGCTGCCCCTCCCTCGATTGTTCGAACAGAAGCAAATGGTTGTTTGTGTAAAATTATCGGTCCCTTTTTTCATTTTAGACCCCATAGCTTATATACACTATTGGAATTAAAACTGGTGTCCCGAAACCTCAAAGATAAACACTGTAACCAGTATTCTAATGATTATTGCAAAGCATGTACAATTTCATTTATGCCAGCGTGATGTCTCAGACGATGAGTTTGCTCTAATTTTACTTTTGGTTTGCCTCTTGTTATTTTAATTTTAGCAGTCAGTGTCACCTGACATTTTCAAAGCTCAGTCTCAGTTATCGTTTACTTCAGTTTTCAATACAATTTATTTCAGAAAATACAAATAAACGAATGAAACATAACTGATATGTAGATGCATTATTTTACGGATTGCCCTTGTCACACCTAAGCTACTGACCGCAAACATATATATATATATATATATATATATATATATAGCGTTTCCTTTAGTAAACATACACTGGCTGATACTGGGCTATACTCTCCGGCTCACGTCATTGTGTCTTCTCGCTAAGTATAGTGGGCTGGGGAACAGTTAAATGTAGTACTATGTTGCCCGCGTTAGACTAGCGATATTCGTGATTAGCGCGTCCGTGCCAGCTCGGAATCCCCATTCAAATCAACGTATTGCGAAATACTAAAATGGCAATATCATAATATACTGGAGACGAGGATGTCAGATTCTTTGATGTTAGACAAATTTCTCGAACAACCAGTTTAGTCCAATCTGGACAACCGAGTGGTCCTGAAATAAATGCAGTTCACCAAACCTCTCAATCTTCTGCATTAACCTCTGGTCAAATGCCCATTGGTTTTACCTGACACGTCCATCGTCCTAGTTTTCCACACAATATCAATCGACGCCGAAGAATAACACCTTCGCCATTCTTCCGGCATTATGGTGTTTGGTATTTCGTCAAATCTTGTCCATATACGCAGCACCAACACCAAAGCTGCAATAATGTTGACCATAAAGATAGCTTTAACCAGCAACACATACAACGATACTCGGAACAGCCACCCTCAACAAGTCAACACAGACGGCGTGATCTCCGCATTTGTGTCCAGCTTGGCATCCCTATTCAACTCAACGTAGTGCAAAATATAAAAGCAGCGACATCATAACGATAACGCAAGTTAAGGCATCAACGCAGTTAACATGTTTTAAAAATAAATGAAAGTTAATCATATTTTTGCGTGAAAAGTATCAGCAGGATGATTGTTCATTTCACACTGATGGGTCTACAGTCATTCTAGAATTTAAGTGTGTACGGACCCACATTGGATGTGCAGCTTCAATATCTTCGACAATACGATTAACTGCTGCACAAAGAGTTTGTATGTGCATGCTCCAAGTTGAAACAGCAGGATCTCGATCTAAATAAAAAAACAAAAAAATAATATAATCTAATAAGTATGACACAAAAACAATTTATTTTAGCGTTTGACCACGGCCTGACATCAGTTAGAGAACCAGTGGAAACTGGTACTGTAGTGCTAAACAGCTGTTTCGCCCTAATTTGGGACTCGTCTGCAGTGTGCACCCAACGAGGTCCTAACTCAGGAACTACTGGTTACAATTCAACCTCGTAGACCATTCAGCTACTGGGACCCCACTAAACGGCCCATGAATTCTAACTTCTACCAATTCGAGATATTTTAGCGCCATCACCAACCAATGTTATCAGAGAGCGACAGGATGGACCTATTTGTCACGACTTCTCACTATAACTCCAAGTAACGCCTTCCTGCAGCCAGTCAGAAGCGAACGTTGGATTATTTCCCAATTGGCTGGTGGTCGCGCTAAAATCATGAATTTGGTAGAAGTAAGAATTCATGAGTCATTGAGTTGGGTTCCAGTGATTGAATGGCCTACAAGCTTGACTTGAAACTGGAAGGCCCTGGCTCCGAATCCCGGTGGGTTTGCAAAGCTGGTGAGTCCCCAACTACGACGAAACAGCTGTTCACTATTATAGTACTGGTTTTCACTGGTTCTCTAACTGATATCAATCCGCGGTCAAACTAAAGAACAAATCAAAACCATACGAACTAATTCTTGAAAAATTATTTTTAATTAAAGATCAAGAATTTTTCGAAGCACTTAGGTGGCCCCACTGACATCTGGACCCTCCCCTTGCACTTCTACTGTTTCAAACACTATGGTATTATCCACTTGATATATATGAGTTACAAAAATTGCCTTTCATATTCAATGGACATAAATCGTCGTGTTTTACTACAATAAGATAGTGAGTGATCAGTGTCGAATATCTCAATCCTACTACTACCATCATCGCGGAAAAGAAAGATGGAGCCTGTAAAGAAGAACTGATAAGTTAGGATGAAACCATTAATCGCAAATTGTGAAAATGGAAAAAAAGGATGTTCCGATTCATACTGTGACTGTTTTGCTCAGTGTTTTGTGTGAATAACAAATATATAAAATCCATCTTCTCACTCTTCCACAACCTGTCACATGATCTAATCTACCACAATCAAGGAGATCGTCGATGATGGTAGGTAGCCTTGTCGTATTCCTATCTTTACTTGAAACGCTTCTGAGAGATCCTCCTTTTGTGAATTACCTGTCGTATGGAATCACCAAATAGTTTAATTGTAGAAATAAGTTCACAAATATTTTGTCCACTGAACTGCATAGTGTGGGAGTGCGGATCAGCTCAAGAGTCTTTTGAGTCGATCAGCACAATGTTTTCACTGTTCCACTTCTTTGTTAATTGGGTTCCCTTCACTATCTTCCACGGGGTTTGTCTGCATCTATCTTTTCCTGTATATTAATCTGGTCATTTGATATAGTGTTGTGAGGTTTCAACTACCGTATGTCTGGATGACAACAGGGACGCTACTCGACGGTCATTTGAATTTTATTGCAAATAGAAATGAACCACACCTATTGTGTCGAGGATAAGAGTGATACTATCTGCTTACCAAAAACCTCGGTCAGTAAAGCAGGATTCGAACTCATGACTCAAAAGTTGAGAATTGAGCATAACTTTACAACATGTGAAAATGAGAAAATTCAAAAAACATTCAGTCCAAAGTTTGCCGACGGATTGATATCAGTTACAGAACAAGTAGAAATCAATAGTGGACGGCTGTTTCGTTCATATTAGGGGCTCGTAATTAGTAGACACCCACCACTACGGTTCGAACCCAGGACCTGCCGGTAACAATTCAAGCTCGTAGACTATTCGGCCACTGGCACCCAACCAGTGACTCATGAATTCTAACTTCTACAAATTCGGGAGCGACTGGCACCGGCCAATGTCATCGGCGAGTTTTCGTCATCACTCCCGACTGCGTAGAACCTCAATGGTCGCGACTTCTCACTAGAACACCAGGAAACTTCCCTTTGTAGCTAGTCACTAGCGTGTATCAGATTAATTTTTAACAGTTCTCTAACTGATATCAATCAATCCATCGTAAGACTTGGAAATCAAATTCCTACAAACTAACTCTGGATAACATTTAGTCCATAAAATTATGATATAATTAAGAAGTACTTACTTTCAAAGTGAATAACACCATCAATTTGATCAAGTTTTGCATTTAATCTTCCTTCAGTAATCATTTGAGCAGCTATTGATTCCGCCTGATATATGGAAACAAATATTACTTACATTAAACATACATATATTGAACAAAAATGAACTGTTTATAAAAATGCAATCTATTTCATTTGTGGATGGTGACTAGCATTGGAATCCAGAATGCGCATTTCGTCGTATTTGGGACTCGTCATCCATATGTACCAGCATTTCCAAATGAGTGATGATGTTCCTACCGAGGCTCGAACCAAGTGCCCATAGTTTCAAACGCTAAAGCGCCATCCATTAGACCACTTAGGCCACGAGAGCCACCTCTTGTGCAACGGGTCATATTAATTTAATTGAATTTTAGATTTTCCTGTCGATTGATTGAACCGAAGTGCTCGGTTTCAGGTTGACATGTCGGCTTCTTGTGCATATGCTTCGACGATACATTTGCATAGGATATATATATATATATAATCCCCTTGGGTTTCAAGTAGAACATACGGCTTTTGTCAGTTAACACTGATTGTCGAAGAAAGTGATGACTAGACATGCGTAACACATATCCTAGCCATCTCAATGGATATTGCTTCACAACCTCGCCGATTGATTTCCCCTCCTTACCTAACACTTGATGCCTAACCTGAATATATTACTCACCACATTATACAGCTTAACACAGGAGACAGAACTCGAACATCTGTGGTCAAAGGCAGCTAGCTAGCCTTTTCATTTTTCCACTTTCAATAGCCATGACTCACAGCCACAAGGGAGGACGGAGTGAACTTTTTTTCGGGACACACGTCCTTTGATCGATGGCCGGATGTCACGTCTAGGCCAGACATGGAGTAAGTTGGGAAATCCTATACGAGACTTTTATATCCGTGCTAAGACTTCGTCAGAAATGAGTCCATTAGGATTGATGTATTTCCCGAATAAGTGAAGTAGTCAACACGCTCTACCAATTCCCTCCCCATCTTCAAGTTAGGGGTCAATGTAGTTCAATCCTATAGCATCATCTTACACTTGACAGAAGTAAATCGCATGGCAAAAATTCGAAGATTTCTTCTCAAGGTATTCATATCATCATCACCTCGGCGGACTATACCATCCGCATATTCTAGGCCAACAAGATTATTCTGTAAGAATGGCAATTAGGATATGGAAATATAATTGTCTATTTCCCTACAATTAGTTCATCACAAAAAGCTGTGAACCACAATACTCAGTTAGCAAAAGTCTACGACCATTCATGGATGTTCTTCACAAGGAAGCATTACACAACAGTAATGAAGATTTGTGTCACACCTCTAGATAATCAGTAACGACAACCCATCACTGGTTATAACACTGATATTAAATGAGTGATAAGATTTAATGTGCGTCGGTGGCACAACAGTAGAATGCTCGCCAACCACGCCTCATGCGGTTCGGGGTTCGATCCCCGGCCACTGAGGCAATCCTTTAACTCGCTAAGCCAGTGGTAAGACTGGTAAAGAGGGGAGTTTGAGCATAAGGCTAGCAATCCCATCCCGTAAAAATAAACATCACTGCTACCGAAACTTCAAGCCTCTAGCTTGAAGCCACCCTATGTTCCACTGGAAACGTGAAGGATTAAAAAAAAAAGATTTAATAAGAACAGATATTTGAAGTATTATGGTAAATTACCTCAGTTGTGGATATCTCTAAAAGAAGACCCAAATTGTCTAAAGTGATATTATTATAAATTAGTCCAGCGGCTAACATATTGTGTTCAATTAAAGCACGTTCAAGAAGCATTTGTACAGAAGAATAAGATGATGATGATGATGATGATAAAGATTGTATCGATGAGGCATCTTGAACATTACTACTATTTCCTGTGTCACTGTCTGAAGCAGATTTCAACAAATGAGGATAATATTTAGTAAGTAATGGTTCCAAAGCAGATAATGATGAACGATTGATTAAACGTCCCATAAACCTGAAACATTAAGAAAAAAAAGAATACAAATTATACAACAAATTTAGACATTACTCAATCTAAATTGATGTATTCTACGAGAAATACAGTGTAACTGACAAATAGAAACTCAGAAATAGAAAGTCAAGTTATTCAATTATTCACGGACGATATCAAGCAAACCCAATGACCAACACACAAAAACCAACAAGTAAGAAGAAGTAGAAGGAGCCAGCGATTTCAAGTGAACATAAAGAAGACGTGATTGCGATGAAGATGACCAGCGACTACCACGAACAACAGCAAGCAATAGTCACTAATAACAGCAGAAATTTGAAGGAAGACACTTCCTTCACTCATCTAATCAGTATCGTTTCAACTACTGGCAGACGGAAAGGAGAGCGATGTCGAAACCAGAATCAGAAAGCCAAGTCAGACCTTTATCACTCCAAAATAAGTTTGGAAATCTACTGCACAGCAGTCAGCGTAAACAACGAAATGCGGATTTTCAACACCAATATTAAGTCAGTCAGTCAGTTTTTCTATATGGATGATAAACTCAGCAAGCGAGTCATGGAAAGCATTTCCAACAGTCTACTGCAGGCATTTATTAACACCTGTCTTCACTGGTTACATACTGAAGAACAAATGACCAGAAAGAAAGAATTATCAACAAGAAACTATGACAGGGAATAAATTAACCAAGACTGCAATTGGTGGATGATGACTAGCAGTGGAATCCAGGATGCGCATTTCGTCCTATTTGGGACTCGTCAGCGCTGGATGTGCCTGAATTCCCCAGTGAGTGATGATATTCCCACTGCTAGTCACCACCCACCAATTAAATTCTAATTACATGCCCAGACATCGTCGAAGCATCTGCACAAGAGACCGACATGTCAACCTGAGACCGAGCACTTCAGTTCAATCAATAGACGGGAAAATCTAAATTGAATAACTGCTTGGAAAATCCCTCCTCAACGATCCAATTACAATATTGATACTTATTTGAATGTTTTCGATGTTATCACTGTTGAATAGGACCATAGATCTATCGACGAATAACCGTCTATTTGCTGTTTTTTGTAGCATCTTATAACTGTGAGTGCCTCAAGGAAGTTTTGTCAGCAATACAGTAGGACGCAAAAGATCGGTTCCCTGCATTCAGACCACACGGGTCGGTTTTTTTCGTTACCGGTAGTGTTAAGTAATAATTCCAAATAAGATATATAATGAGTGCAGGTGTCTCTTGTACGTCGTATAAGACTAATACGCTTAAGAGAAATACCCGTTCTGCATTGTTATACGTAATCAACAGATGAAACTTAGTCGAATTCCCGAGATATTGGGGGGGGGGGAATCATGGATTTTTAACACTTGGAAAATCATGCTATAATTTTTTAAAATTTCCTTTGTGTTATTGGAACTATAAACAAGAGGATCACATAGTATTGAAGCCATTACGCGTATCTTATTGTTTGAATTAAATCTCTTCAATTGGAGATTTATTGATCTACCCATTGATATGTTATATCATCATTTGAGATTATGAGAACTCGTTGTAGAATTCTAGAAGTACTTTCTATTCGTTTCCCTTTGAGATTTATAACATATTAATTTTGATATTTGTGAGTACTGTTAAAATGTCATCAGTTTGACTCATCATAAGCCTCCAAGTAACGAGTTTTAACTCAATCCAACTATCGCATCTTTCACACAAATCATATATTTGATATGTAGACAGATCAACAATCGAGCATCTTTTATTGGTAATATGGTGACCGATTACCAGTCCGGAAACTGACCAATACGAATTGATCAAAAATGTTCATCAAAATTGGCTTATGTAAGCGATCGATGTCCAGTCTGTATATAAACCAATAACAATTGGTCTCCGCAAAGAAACGCCCACTATTTTATTGATCATGATTACAGACTAGTTGTCAGATCCTTGGTGGTATTTTGAATCAGACATCATTGTGTAAAATAAACTTTTCGGCTCACGTTGACGTGTGTTCTCGCCTGAGTAGTGCGGGCTGGGAAAAACAGGTAACTGTCGGATAATGTTGTTAGCGCAGTCAAGCGGTATTCGTGATCAGCGCGAGTATCTAACTCGGCATCTTTATTTCACTCCCCACGTTTTGTTATAAGATAAAGACATTGAAAGATCTATTTAACTTTTTGTATTTGTCCGGGTTTACCTTACTAATACAAATACTTTATAATTTTACCTTATTCGCATATGGTTGAGATGTACTGGGATTTTTCTCTTCTTTCATGACATTGTCTTCCAAGAATTTTCAAGGAGTTGAAGCAGTGTCATGCCACTATGTAACTGTCACTTTCACAGCTTTGAAACCTTAATTGGCTAGCGTACACCTCAATTATTGGTGACAAGACGATGTAAATGTCTTTCTAGATCCCTGAATAGCTTAACACTACACTCCTAAGATTCATGTGGAATACTATGAATAAATTCAGCAACTGATAGTTGAAAGGCTTTTCATTTATTTTTCGTTAGGTGGGCTAATAGTACTAACAATACTCATTACTCTTGATCCAGTAAACGCACTAATGCTTGATCGATAGGAGTATATAGAAAGCCTGCATGAAACGGTCAGCTGACAAACTTTAACAGTTGGGTACCCATTAATCGCAAACTGAATCTAATAATATCTCTTGAGACTAGGGGATCCGGAAAAATTTTCAGCCATGAATCAGTATATGAAGAGATCACTCTTTTGAGGAAGACACTTGAGAAACTTGAGAATGGATACCCCCTTCCCCCACTCACGCTTTATAGACAAACACATAAAGCCCGACACCAACAAAGAATACCCCCATCTCTATGCCAAAGATGCTATACATGAACGCGGCGTTGAAATGCAACCTTCTGGCCGACACCCTAAATAATAGAGAATATCAAACACTCTGAAAAGAACATTCTTTGCTGCTATATTACGATTGGTATTCTTAAGCCGCCCATTGTTCTTCAACAACTCCAAAGATAAACTATCGCATTTGACCACTTATGTGTATATCTACCAAGCTACTAGTTCATGTGGAGCGAGGTACATAGGTCGCTCGCTGCGTGTTTTATCTAAAAGAGTTAAAGGGCATCATCGTGCTTGGCTACGAAAAGATGACAATGGATCAATAAGGAGTGCTGCAATTGAACACATATTCATCATTGGTCACTCAATGAATATGTAAGGCGAATTCATTTAAAGTTATCTACATAGTCCAAGGAAGCCTCCCCCAAACTGTAAGCTTCTGCATACTTTTCATCGCATGGTCCCTAGCGATCTGGACAGAAAACCCTGATTTATGCACACAGAAGAAACTTCTCCACCTCCTCCTTCCTTCTACCTTGGGTATATAATTCCAAGTTCAACGGTTATCAGTACTATTTTGTGCACTTTTCGTATGACATTTATTATCATCACTTTATTAACTAACCTTCTATTTACTCTCCTCATTTACTGCATAATTTATTTTGATACTCGTCTCCATGTTCTTTCGTTAACACCCAATTTCTTTTGAAAGTTTTTATATTACATAACCCTAGTTTAAACTTACTAATCTTCATCCTTCCCCCTCCCAGTTGCGATTTTGATTATTCATCTCATTTTTGAAATATTTGGATGGCGTGAACAGTAAACAAAACTAATTTTTATTCTTGTTTGACAAACCTAATGTACACACACATGAAATATACAGTGAATTTACGGCTACGCGAATGAGTCCGTCGGAAAGACTCTCTTCGCCGAACAGTTTGTTCTTATTTCAATGACAACTTGTTGGGGATAAGGGGTAGGGTTTTGTCGGAAGCTACTATACTAAGGGATATATCTGAACGTATACTATCGAAATGTCTACGAGTCAAGCTGTAACTGTACTTCATCTTATAAAAATCAAGTGAGTTAATAATCCAAATTTAAATGTATACACCTATAAAGCGGTAGACTTACATTTTTTCTAAAACTGGAAAAGCATCAAATGCTTGACATCGTTCATCTTTATATAAGGTAGCTAATAGTCTAGCTCTTTGTTGACCTGCTGCAGACAGAAGTGCTGCTGCTAATGCACGCTCCAAAAAAGACAATCTCTGTGAATCATCTAACCAAGGGAATCGTACAGACAATTCAGCGTATCGTTGACCAGCCTCGAGAAATTTTTGTTTTAAATCTAGTAATTGTGCATAGGCTATCTGAAAATTTAAAAAAAATAAAATAGAGTAGCGATAGAGAAAAGGTAAAGCAAGAAGAAGTAAAATCCCTTTCGTCGAGAAATTCGACTTTCAGCAAGTAATATATATTCGTTTAAAACTTTTCACCTATTCACTTACATATCTTCCTGTTTTATTCTGACTTCATTTCACTGCAGTAATCGTCTAATCATCTATAGTCTTGATACAAACATACATCCTTTTATGGATTATCTCTCACACCTACACCATTGGCCATATATATATATATATACATTATATATATATATATATATATACCATTGTTTCCTTTTGTAAATATACTGACACTGGGCTGGGGAAACAGGTAGCTGTAGTATACGTTGATGGTACGGCTTAGCGATATCCGTGATCATCCTATCTACGTCCACCTGGATGTCCCCATATCAACCCAAAGTTTTTATGAAAAATATAAAAGTGGCGACATCATAGCACATTGGAGACGGAGATGTTGGACGAATTTATCGAACAACTAGTTTAGTTCAATTTGGACGCTATAGTAGTCTTGAAATCAATGCAGTTTGCCAGATCTCTTAAGACCTTGGTCAAACACCCCTTGGTCTTAATTCAAATGTCTATCGTCCAAGTTACTCACGCAACAGCAATCGACGCCTAAAGATGACACCTTTATCATCCTGCTGGCATTGTGATGCTTGATATTTCATCCAATCTAGTCGGTATAAGCAACATCAGTGCCAAGATTGCAAAAATGTTGGACGCAAAGATGGTTTTAGCCAGCGACAAAAATAACGGTCATCCTTGAAAAGTCGGTACAGACGCTGTTCTCAATCACCACATGCCTGATAAATATTCGTCAGTGTTTGGATTCTATATCCCCAAGTTGGCGCTACGCCTGTTTCCCACCTCAGTGTTCCTATATCAACCTAACGTTGTTTTTGCAAAATATAAAAGTGGCAACATCCTAACAGGTCTAAATGTTAATGTTTTTTAAAGGTGGTATTTTGAAGAAAAGCATTGTTCTACTCATCAGATTCTTTGAGAAGAATCTATGAGCTCATACACGACACCGTAACAAAGGAAAAATAACCTAAACACACAGTTTATTTTACTTTATTTAAAAGGAATTATAAATTTGAACAAGTGTTAATTAATAGCACTTGTATTCATTTTTATTTGTTTAAAAAACAGATTTGACACAATATGGAAATCAAGAGATGCACCATACAACAATAGGTAAAACAACAATATATAAAGAAAATAGGCAGTGAATAAATCAGGGACGTCATCCAGAAAGCATATTTTTCAAGATCAAAAAACACTCATTACTTCACGGTACTTTCAGAGAGAGTAGAAAGAAGGAAATTGCAGCATATTCGCCAGTGATTGCGATTCTAGGTCATATCTTATAACATTTCGAGTCATCAACACGAACTGTGCCTTTCGGACCTTAATCAGAGAGTTGTGATCTACAAACTGATGCAAGTCTAACACAAATATCCTTCATCTCATGGTGGCACGCCATAGGCTGATCACATCTCCACTGTTTCTATCCGGACCCAAGTCTGGCAGACAGAGACCGTACGGAGACCTCTGTTTTCTGTAGTTATCTTCAGCTGACCCCACGATTTCCCATAAGCTTTCATCTCTTCCATGTTACCCTTGGATCAACGTCCAACTCACCGTTTCTCATTCGGGTTCCACTTGAGCTATGGCCTGAAATGCGATGTCACCCAATGGTCTTCTCAGCGTGTGGCATGTTCATCTCCATTTTCTTCTACATACTTGTTGAGCAATACTCTCTTGGTCAGTTTTTTTCCCTGTCGGAGTTTCTTGTTGATAATTCTCTCTGGCCAGCTGATCTTCAGTATGGAGCCAGTGAAGGCAGCTGTCTACACAAATCTGCAGTAGCCTGTTAGAAGTGCTCTTCGTGACTCGCTCGGCGAATTTCTGACTCATATAGAAGAACTGACAGACGTAACATCGGTGTTAAAAATCCGGATTTTGTTCTTTGTGCTTAAATGAGATTTCCAAACTGATTTCAAAGTAATGAAGGTCTGTCCTGCTTTTCCGATTCTGCCCAGATAGGTGAAAGCAGTGACCTCCTTCAAATTTATTCTGTTGATAGTGACTGGTGCTTGTTGTTGTTGTTTGATTACCTTCACCACCTCCGCTGGCTCTATGCCCACTTGAATTCCTGTGTTTCCCTCCAAGAAGTTTCGGTTAACTTGTTGGTTTTAGTCTGTTAGTCTTCGAGTTTGTGTGACACTAGACATAAATCTTCCACGAAGTCCAATATCTTCCAGGGTCGTCTTATCAGTATAAGATATTCCTGTCTTATCCCTCCCCACTTATAGTCTTGCGCGTGATCCAGTGTACTACAATCAGGAATATCATCGCTGATAGTAGGCAACTTTTTCTTACTCCTAACATTCTTACCCAACACTAATATAATTGCATTTAATAGATCATTTTAAACTGAACCTCTTTTACAATACGCAATACAAGTACAGATAATAATGCGCAGGCTTTTGAATTTCAGAAGAAAACCGCTTACCTTATAACGAACCAATAGCTGTTGATCCTGACACTCTGGCTGTAGTAAAGATGCACGATTAACGGAGGCCTCAGCTTCTTGAGTTTCATGCAATTTTAGATAATACTCGGCTATTCTCAAATAGACGTCCAACTTGTAATTTGCTCCGTAGACCCTATTTATATGGTATTTGAATTTTAAAAGAAAAATAATTATAGAAAGTCATAATATGCATCACTGCGTGAAAATTATAGTGAATATACGTATATATATACATGCTTAGAATGGTGCCAATGTCTGTGTGTATAATGCAACTTAATCGCCAAAATATTCCTTTTAAAGTGAAGCGTTGAGACTTAGCTATTCCACGTGAGGTCACAAGTTGACATCAGTTAGAGAACCACTGGACAATCTGGGAGTATTGGACAGTTATTTCGTCCTAGTCTAGGACCCTTCGGCAGTACGCGCCTACCAGATTTCAACTCTCCATAAGCTCTTACACAGCTGAGTGATTTGTATTAGTGTGATATACTTTCTCAGCACTCCCTTCACGACCAAGCACTGCCACAGCACTTTCAGGCTGACGGAGTTAAGTACCACCTTCAGGTCAAGGAATATGGCAATCGCTGGACACCGGTGAGTATGCCTCTGTTCCAGAATCCACCCAAGACTGAATACATGGTCAATATACGTTCTTTCTAACCCAATGCCTGACTGGTTTTCTTGAGTTTGTTTTTCCCGAGAACCATTTAGTCTGCACATGATTGTTGAACCTAGAACTTTAAATACTATGTTAGTTAAGGTTATCCCCCCTAGGATTAATGCAACCTCCCAAGTGAGATGGCAAGTACACTCAACGACTTCGCTTTCTATCTTCAGAATATCAGTGAAGATCAATTCTGTAGCATCACATCCTCATGCCAAACACACTCACATTTTCGCTTAGAACCTCTGGGGGACTCTGCACTTTATCAGCGTATTCACCTACGTCACCTGCGTATCCCAAATCAACGATACCTTCCTTATCTTAGTAGCAGGCTAACATCTAAGAGACTTTGAAAATAGCCAAAGTTACATCCATAAGTAAATCTACAAAGGAATTAGATGATATTAACGGTTAAATTATGCATCTCTGACGGTTACTAGTAGTTGTCATAACATCAAACGGTAACTATTTATAAGCTGTCAGATGGCTGCATGAATTCAAAGTGATTACCTTTGTTGTCATTAAAAATTCCCTCAGTATGCGTCCCTCACAACTAGACATAGCTACAGAACCTCTTTATTAGTGAAATCAAATGCCATTATCAAGTCAAGTGTCAGGTTTTTGTAAACATGTCTATATTTTGAGAACCTGCTGAAGGGTGAAGGTATGATTAGTGTATCCTCATAGGGGCTTTATATCTGCCTGATTTGCAAAACCCAATTTAGTCTTCGCAGAACTAAAAGTCATCACCAAATACTGTCCACAGGTGTACAGAAAATCTCTAACCAGCTTCAAATTCTCGTCATATTCACAGTCATTAATCGTCTTGCACCAAATATTTCTAATGAGCTTACAGAAATCGAATGGCTGTTACTGACCTTTGGCCTCCGGTTATTAAATGTCCTCTACAGCAGACAATATAATATCAACAAGCTTGCTTAGGATGAGTCCTGTCACGATACTCTTATAAACGTTTAGTCATCTCTCCGTCGAACACAGACTTTATGTTATCACCAAAACCATGGACAAGTACGCCATAAGAATGAAGCAACTCACAGTTAAGAAACAGAAAAAGTTAAAACTGAAGCAAAATAAAGTGGGAAATCTTTCGTCATTATTTTAATCCCTCAGCTTATTATGAACTCATTAATATACAGTAAGCTATATAAGTCGTCATTTAGGCAGAACAAATTCTTTTAAGCACGTAACCAAGTAAATAAAAAACTTATAGCTACCATCAGATACCTTTACGCCTTTTATCCATTACCGATGTGAGGTGCTGTATTCAGTATTCAATAATACTGAATTTAAATTTTAGGGAAATAATGAACATTAACAAGCTACATTGAACAACACTAAACTCAAATCTTTGAAGCATAAAAACCACTTACCGTTGTCCACTTTCTAAAGGAATATCTGATAATACACTTGCTGCTTCACGGAGATTCCCTACGGCCTCCAACCGTTTTGCAAGTGAATCACGCAATTCAACCAACTGAAAGCTCCTAGAAACAATACACGAGATAACTTACTTGAGATTCAAATGCAATGTTTCTTAATTGAAGTCGAGGAAGTAGAATTTGAAATGCACTAATTGCTACGGCATTATCGCTTAATCCATTCACGAAGCTTATAAGTTCATCACAAAACTTCCTGGCCGTTATAACTGTTACCATATCCTGGGAAACTGTAAAAATATACACTGAAAATTTGGTTACTTGAGTTAACAATTGTGGTTATATTGGACAATAAGCTGTCAGAAGTCTGTGGAATAGATTTGAGTAGGGCTGAGAACCTAAAATATGTATATGAATACATCTTCAATTTACAAACTTCTCAGTAGCTTCTTTTGGAGATTTACACGCAGTAATTTCAGCAAGAGTTGAATTTATGTCCTCCATAATCGTTGACTGCTTGAGTTAAAACCCTGTAGTAGAGAAGAAAGGACAATAGAATTAACTATTAGAGTAATGAAACAAGATCTAAGATTGACTGAGTGAGTGAGTTTTAAACGTCGAACCTTCCCCAAAAGGTCAAATCACTTCACACGACCCTATACGTTGTGCAGTTGTCTACCAGGGTTTGTTATTACCTATGACAGCAATTTATATATAAAACAAGCGACATTGAAATTACAATCACTATTTAAGCTAGGTGGTTATTACTTCCCGCCTATCCCCGCCATGGACGTTGATTTCTTCTTGAAACACCTGAAGCAGAAGATGCCTTAATCTTGCATGATCGCAGAGCCCACAGGAAAATTGCTTGAGACTGGTCACAAACAGCTTTTGGAATTGTGTCCGTATTAAGATATTACCACCAGCTACGGACTGCCTCAAGGCAAGCCGGGATATGCCCTTTTCGAGGTAGACCAATTCTAACGTTCTTTCCCAGAACGGAGGCAGCACAACTGACTTGCTAGTCATTCGAAGGAAACAGTTTTCTGCTGTTACATCTAAATTGGTCAGCAATACAACTTAGTCCTCAAATCCCAACATACTGTGAGAGATTAACACTATGACGGCAACTTCTTTTAGTCCAACCGCTATCCAAACAACATTTCTGGCGTGGTAGGACTGGTGTGAACATTTATTCCAGATAGTGTAACTCGTTGGATCATTGTGATATGCAAACCAAATCATTACGTCAAGGTAGCAACTATCAGTTGGGTTATATTTCAAACTAATCAGTGCATTGACAAGACCTATACGATAACTGTTGGTGTTTCGTGTTGTTGCCAGCACAGCCATCACCACAGGGCCACTCGGGGTCCTGTTTTACTAATCAAGCCTAAAATCAGTTTGTTTACATTGCTATCAATTTCCCATGGTAGAGATGCGTACCAAACAGCAGCTTCTGCAGTACATGTCTAGCCTTCGATCATGCTTTAGTGTGCCAGGTTGATTTTACGATTTTGTGATCGTAAACAGCGTTCTTTAAAGATTGATCTAAGTATACTATTAGCCTATGCTACTCCCGTGAAGTACTGAGTTCAGTTCAGCTCGGTCCTACCTAATAACACTCCGAATAGTATAAATAAACATTGGCTACACCTTCAAGACGTTATAAAAATCGTGAGTAAAGACATTTGCATTTTGAGAAAATGTACTACTAAAAACCACTGGGTTTCTGTAAGTTACTTGCAACTTCTAGATGTGTGTCGGTGTATTCCAGCAGACAGGGAGTATAACAACAAGCGTAAGACCAAACAGGACCGTGAAGCCTGGTGGTTAGAACGTGCGTGTGAGATTAAATCAGCAGCTGCTTGTGGACATAGTCAGGAGCTATTCCAGCAAGAAGCACAGTGTACGCGAGGCAGTCTATGAGGAATATAGTACGCCGCTTAACGACCTAAAAAGACACCTGGGATGCTGGGAAGAACTCTTCGAGAATCGGTTTAGCTGGCCAGTAGTGCCGGCATCAATATTACCAACTATAGTGCTCCATGGTCGGCTAATACCAACCCACCAAACGAAGCGTAGTTCCGAAAGGAAATCCAAGTGTTGAAACTCTACAAGGCACTTGGTCCAGGCAATCTAACCCCGGCTCTTTTTACTGATGTTAGTGAGACTCCCATAAGGGTTTTGACTGAAGAAAGTATGCGAGATTGAGAATTTTCCACCAATGTGGAGTGAAGCCATCATAGTGTTAATCTTTGAAAATGACCGACTTAATACATGCGACAGCCACAAGGGTACTAGTTTGCTACCAGTCGGGTCTAAAATATTGGCTGCTATCTTACATAGCATGCAGTGCAAAACACATAAGGAACTGATTCGCAAAACACAAGTTGGATTTATTTCGGGTTGAGGATGCATTAATCATATGTTCACCTTTCGTCGATCGCCAAGACAGTCACACATATTGCAAGCCGACAATCGATGTCTCTTGACATTAAGGTTGCTTTCGACTCGTTGGAAAAAACTGTTTTCTGGAACTGTCTGTTAGAGAGAGATGTACTTGAAAAGTCTGTTAACATCCTGAAAGCTTTATTCAGGAAAATCGCAAATAGATTCAGGGTACATAACCAGCTATCATCACTATTCTCAACCATTAATGGGGTTAGACAGGTTTACCCAATCTCTCCACTCTCCTTTAACTTAGCTATCGATGATATTCTGGTGACAGCTCTGAAGAATGTGTATGGTAGTGGTATAGAATTGCCTCCTGGAAAGACTTGTCGACTATGAGTATGCAGACGATATCACCTCACTACGCGACAACATACAGGCTGTTCAAATGGCACTAAACCAGTTGGTGATCAGCGTTTACAAGTGTGGTATTTGCTTTTTGCAATCTAAGTGCGAAGTCATGCCGCAAGGTTGGTAAGAGCCTATACCAGTACTCAACCTTGCAGGTGAACCGGTTGAAGTTGTAGATAAGTCCGTGTATTTAGGTAGCTGTATGAGTGCTGGCGGAGACGTAGCGGAGAGACCGTAGCGTACACCAATGTGAGGCATCTCTGGCTCCGTCAGCCTGGCCTTCATAGGTTGGGCTTACAACGCTTCAGTGCACACAGTCTTGCTGTGTGGCTATGAAACCTGGTCTCTCCGAGCTGAGGATGTACGGTGAATCTGCGGTTAGGTACTGTGTTTGGAGACAGTGAAAGTAACTTTTCACTGAGTGCGATCGTCGTGAAATAAAGGCTTCAGTGACTTGGATAGATGCTATGAATGTCATCCCAGAGACTCACACCCGTGGCAGGTCGCCAATTCTGGGGCTAAATGGAGAAAGCAGAGGTGGTCAGCCTACGATGTGGTACAATGGGATGAAGGATATCTGTTAGGTTAGCACCTGTTGATAAATCAAGGCTCCCTGGGTTGAGTGTAAGAGATAATTCAAGTCGGCAGCGCAAGACGTCATCAGATAAGGCCAGGAATTATAATCAGTGGCAAACACGCTACAATTACCTTCCCTTTTTGAATGTGATATGAATGGATGATGAATGATAAACATACTTACTTGCTTTCTGGATAACCTCCCTCACTAATTCTATCCCTATTTTCGTGATGTTTTATTACTTGCGTGTGATGCATCTTTTAGTGCCTGTAATGTACCAATTCTGCTTTTAATAATTAGTCTCCGGTTACTTTCATTTTTATACTACCTCAGGCGTACAAATTCAGAAGGATCAAGATACAACTTCCTACTAAATGGCACTACATCTTGAGACAGTGCAAATTCGGAGGTACGCAGAAACAGAATTATATTTCCATAATCCAAAGTCTTGAGGAAGAGGGAAAAATTATAGGTTATTAGAAAGTGTACATTTAAAGGCGAAACAGTAACGTTACTATCTATCAAGAAGGATATAAGCACACAACTTAAGCTACTCTACATGACCTAAGTCAACAGTTAAAGACCTCATGTATGATATAACTATATATAGTGCCTCATACCGCCGGTCGTAACAGTAGAAGCTGTGTCGATCTGCAAATACTTCAAATAAATTGGTTTAACCTTTCTTACTTCACAAATTACATTTTAATATATCTTTTACAAGCGAGACATCTATAATTGTGAACCAATTATTTTCCGTAACTTCCGCATTTCAACATCGAAGAGAATCGCATCTGTCAACTCTTTAGTGGTACGACTCCCATAATACAATTAATACAGCAGAAGGATTGAAGTAAAGTGAATTATTAACGTGGAAGTCTGCACAGAGGTGCACCAGATCAAACAAACAACAGTATGGAAGGAAGTATAATGGAACTGAAATAGACGAGAATCTACGAGGGGAAGAGTAATTAAATAATAAGCTAGGATTTTTAGAGTTTTGAAGATGACAATGAGCAAACACGTCTGGGCCACTGGGAAGCATTTTCAGCTGTCACCAACAGTCCCTACGACAAAAAGAGGTAACACAGAATATCACCGATTTTAAAATAAAACCGAAAGTTCTTAAAAATGTCATAGTCAAACTATAAAAAAATTTAAGTTTACAAATAACCCGAGAAAACTGATAAGTGGTTCAACACAGGACTTAGGACCAAACTGTATCACCTAAATATCCGTAACTCAATACCTAGTCATAACAAACACCTTTTGATTACATAAATCTAAGGAATCAACTCATACTGCTCATTTTTTCTATCTCAATCAACCTATAGATTACTGGTGGTTTCATACAGCAGTTTAAATTGCTGAATGTGTACTTGCAAAAACTTAGCTTAACCTGCACTACTAATCGAGTTGGTTGAACTAGTTAAGCAGCTGTCCTACCAGTATCTTGAAGTTAACATCAGGAAATCAGCAATACATTCTGATCACATCTATCGCTACTTCTTCTATGTTGACTCGAAATGTTATTACCGGACATAAAAATTAGATTTCCAAGTAGACACGCTTACAACTTATTACGTGAAGTAAATGTCAGAAGATAATTTCGAGATAGTACGAAACTCACAGTAGTCTTTTAGAAATTATATGGAAGCCTTTTGAGGAGTTTATATTTAGCCATATGTAGCAACGCAAGTGACTTAACTGTCGATTGCTGAACCCCTTATTAATGTGGTACGGATGACCTGATTTAAACTTTACAAACCATTAAATTATTTTGAATTAAACAAGGAAATCTGAATTAAGTGGAAATAAAAATCGTCAGAAGAAACGGCATTCCTACTGGAATTTGCAGGAGGATCTTGTGATTTTACCCCCATAACTACTATGCTGCAATAGATAAAAATAGCTACTTTATCAGTTAAGATTTCAGACTCGCATATATTTTTGTTGGTGGTATTGAGCTTTTTACCCGTGTACTGTTCGCTCTTCTATTTCCCAAGCTTATAAAGAATACAAGAATTTGTTCGAAAGAAAACTTCTCAAGGAACACAAAAATAAAAAGGCGTCACCAGTATTGCAAAGTAATCTAGATCAGCGGACAGCTAAGTTAAACTTTAGGCACCAGTAAGTACCAATAGAGTGTAACCTCACTAATGACTTTGAAAAGCTCAGACCAAAGGATGTAGAGAAATATTCCCATCGGACAAAAAATAAGAACAGGCTGTCGAAAAAGGCGACAAAAATGGGGAGCTCAGTGGATAGGAAAGGGAAAATAAAGGAAACTTTGCCGAGAATTTCCCCGGTTTTCCCAGGTGACGCATTATGTTTCCGTTTTTCACATTACTGTAACGCTTCTTGTCGCAATTATGTACCCTTTTGTCACTATATCTCCCCTTATTTCTTGGCCATCATGTGGGGAATAACTATTTTTCCCAAAAGAGATGTGAAATTCATTCAAACTAAATAGAGTTACTATTGCGACGCTACTTTCTATTTCTGAAAAACGGTTTTACACTACCAATATGTATTAAAACTTATTGTTAAGTGCATGTACTAGCTTAATATACTTTACTGATAAATGCACTTTGTATTGTGCGATGTCAATCAACACTCAGAAGTCTCTGAGTTGTATACTCACCTAAGTGCGGGACGAATACTGATCACTCACAGTGAAAGTCAAGTACATTTTCAAATATCACTTACTTGTACCGCCTCAGTTGAAGAACCACTCTAATTTCAGTGTCTCAATTGGAGCTGCTTATAGGTTTTGGGGGCATCCTGCAAGCTAAAGTGCTTTTGAGATGCAGTGAGAGACTTTCGCTCGAATTTTAGTTTATTGATAATTACATATACCTGAATGGCCATGTGATAAACGGGGTTCTGTTGGCTTCATTAGGTGACTAATGAGAAGCATTCGAGTTCAGGCATACTTTGATAGAATATCAGATTACGGTGATGTTTTTCGCCACACCAGAAGGTTTCGGGTATCCGGCGAAGGAAATGAAGTCTTAATGATATGAAACTTTAAATAATTCTTCGAAAATGATGTCCCACTTTGTGTATCATTCCAATATCCAATATCCAATATCCTGATTACGAGCTAGTATAAACCAGTGATTTCTTTGAGCTCGCTTCTTGATTTTAAGGTAGAGGTTCCAGATCTTCGGTGAACTTATGCGTAGTAAATCCCGCCACTCGACTGCTTTAGCTCTGGTAGACTCCAGGAGGAGTGATGCGAGGATTGGTCAAGATTGTGGTTTGTAGTGTGCAGTATGTTAGGACTCAGCTGCTGCCGTGAATGGAGTTTGACCTAACACCCGTCGGTCATTCGGTATGGGGGCTGAATTTCTCTGTGTGAGTCTACCAGTTAAGCTTAAGTGCTCTGTCTAGTGTCTACAGTATTCGACGCTCTGTCGTATCACTTTTGGTCATACTTGCATGAAACTCAGACAAGCAAGTAATTATCATCGGTCTGCGTTTCTGTTTTTTATTTTGAACAACCAACTTGTTATTTTGATTTGTCTTTGGTCTTGGAGGAACATGTGCTTCTGGAGTTGGAGGATAAACACTTGCACTAGCATATGGTGTATCTTGCGTCACCATCGACACCATTCAACTTATACGAACTATTTAGCAGACTACAGTCTTCTTTTTCTTTTTGATCACACTTTAGACGAGTATATTTAAAGAGTAGGAATGGATTTTTATTATTACTTTCAGTGACCAATATTAGTGTTCCACATGCACAGACATAAGTGGGACAAAAGGGATTTCCTCCATCCCCGAAGTCCGTCAAACCCTGCCATAGGGATTATACTGCCACATCTTACCTTCTGTACAATTGCCTTTAATATCGACAAGGGAAAAACGGAAAGCAAGGCGAAAAAATAACAACAGTTTGACTGTTTGGAAGGTGGTCAATGTTTCGCGTTCTGTTTTCTCAGACTTTCATGAACAGTGAGCTGGAAATAGACTGCAAACGAAATATCCCAAATGGGAATACGTTGAGCCGAATGGTGCAGCTACTTGAGTGAGCGTCTGACGTTTACATCATTTTCCCGTCTAAATCTATCAGTGATGACAAACCTCAGGAGACTAAAGGTATTGACGTTCGCGGATAGTACGAAGTATACTAATGCAAGATCTAATACCCACAACTTCCATAGTATTCGTTCCGCGTAGACCAAAGGCATAGCAAAAGACCACAATTGATCGTCCAAATTACGAGATATATTTCGGGATCAAATCGGAGTGTGAGATGATTGTTTAACTAGTTAGGGATCGTGCACGAACGAACGAACCAACGTGACACGATGGCGTACCAAATGGCATGGATGCTTGACCGGAAGCCTTCAACTAAAAAAGTTGACTTAAACAGCGAGGGTCAGCATCCAATATTCAGTGATGAATGCTGCGGCCAATAATTTTAGGGAATTATTTACCGCTACAGCTGACTCCATCCCTTGTGGGGTTGTGAGGACTCTAAGACAAAACCAGCTAGGAGTGAAAAAACCCAACGGTTAACCCATCGTTAAAAAACTCTCCTGATTGGTTTGATGTAATGCCCACTGGCCGTCTACCTATGCTAATAGGGTGTCTGTACATCACTTCGTTTATGTCTGTCCGTTGGATCTCGTGCTTCGTTTGCTTCTTGTCCAGTGCCCGTAGCACCTAGAAAAGAAAACAAGAGTGCTGAGACTCCTGTTGAGGAAGGTTTACCAAAAGTAACGTTTGAAAAATGATATTCATCTACTATACGGTAAAATAATGCGAAAATAGAGCATCGAAAAAAAGTATATATCTAATTTTGTCAGTGGATGTAACAAGTACGGTTATAGAAATGTCTTTACTTGTGTTGCGGGGCGCAATATAAAAAATGATTTGTCTGAAAGAAAAAAATAAATAAATACCACGAACGAATAAGAGATGGGTGGGTCGCATCACTTAGTTGTGTGATATAAGTGTGGAGATGTTCTATAAATCTCACGTTTCGTCCAGAACGCGTTTTCTTTGAGGGCTCGATATAAGGTTCTGTGGCTTTTGCGTGCTAGTGACTTCTTCGAGGACTAACGGATATTGGGTTACTTGTGCATTATTGGGAATGTTCAGTTCTAGGCTCATGGTGGGCGGGTGTCAGACGGTTGATGCTGATGGTGTCTTCGCGGCCTTTTGTATCTAAGATAAAGGATTTATCCGTACGTTTAATGACTTTATATGCTCCGTCGTATTGGCGTTCCAGAAGGTAACGCACAGAGTTACGACAAACAAATACATGTGAAGCTTTGAAACACGGGTGGACAAAGATGTCTATGGACTGTGGTCGAAGGGGAGCAGGTTTAACTGGAAGCATTACATTTGTAAGCCTGCTGAAGTACGAGGCGCGATTTACGGCTGATAAAAAGCTTGAGAGAGAAACAAACTCACCTGGCCGTCGTAGTGTTGTGCCATATACTAGCTTGGCGGTAGTACAACCAGCATCGGTTTTTAAGACGTTTCGTATCCCTAGGAGAACTACCGGAAGTGATTCCATTCAGTGGATATTGTTTGCAGCTGACAACCCAGCTTTCAACTGTCTGTGTAGACAGTCTACCATACTATTAGCTTGAGGATGGTAGGCTGTTGTTCTAAAACGCATGCGACCTTTGATTTTAGTCAGGGCGAAGAATAAGCCACTTTCCAAATGCCACTTGCGATCAGTTGTTATGGAGGATGGGCATCCAAAGTTTGCGATCCATCTTTCGACAAAGTCGCGTTCGACTGTTTCAGTAGATACATTCTTGAGGGGTACTGCTTCAGTTCATCGTGTGAAACGGTAGATTCGGGTTAAAATATAGGTATATCCGTGAGATTCTGGAAGGGGTCCAACCAAATCTACATGAATATGTTCGAAACGAGCATCATTGATAAGAAAGGTGCCCAAAGGGCTTTTTGTGTGTCTTACTACCTTGCACTTTTGGCGAGCTAAGCACGTGTATGCCTATTCCCTTACTTCCTTATTAATACCAGGCCAACAAACCCGATTATTTACGATTTTGACGGTAGTTCGAATACCTGCGTGGGATAAGCCATGCAACGTATTAAAGACGTTACGGCGATATCTTTTAGGAACGATAGGGCGAGGAGTACTAGTGGAAATGTCGCAGAGAATAGTATCTTTTCCTATACCTAAGGGTTTCTCGGCTAATTGCAGAGTTGTTTTCGACAACTCGTGTTGAAGATCGATATCTTTTTTTGAAGACGAGCCAGTTTACATGGTCTGTGCCGTCGATTTGGGTGAGGGAACAAAGGCGCGACAAGGCATCTGCCACAGTGTTGTTCATTCCGGATAAATGACGAATATCCGATGTAAACTGTGAAACGCAATCCAGTTGTCGTGATCCTCTAGGTGAATACTTATCTGAAGTTGAGTTCAGAGAATACGTCAGAGGTTTGTGGTCGGTAAAAATTATGAATTCACGGCCCTCCACTGAATGTCGAAAACAACGTATGGCACAGTACATAGCAAGAAGTTCTCTGCCGAATGTGCTGTACTTCGTTTCTGTTAATTGAAGGCGCTTCGAGAAGTTACAGAACCGCGCCGATTGCAGTGTCAGATGCATCAACCGAGATACTTAATGGTGCCTTTGGACCCTAATATACATGAAGTGTGGCACCCGCAGTAGCTTTTCAAACTGCGTGAAAGCATTTTGAGCAGACGTGTCGAGTTCGACGGAATTTTCATTCCCTCGATGAAGGCCTGTTAATGGTTGAATCAGAGAGGCACAGCTGGGAATAAATCGTCGGCAATAACTTACCAAGCCGTTAAAAGTGTGAAGACTTCTCACTGTCTGTGGCTCTGGAAAGTTCAGTATCGCCTCAACTTTTCTAGCCAGTGGGCGAATGCCCTTGCAGTCACTGGTGTGGCCCAGAAAGTCGAGTGAGTCAACACCTACTGGACACTTTTGAATAATAAAGGTTACACAATGTAGGCGTAGCCTTTCGAATACCAAGCCCAAGTGTCCAAGGCGATTTTCCTTGTCTAGACTAGCAATGAGACAGTCATCTGGGTGTGCGTATACAAAGTCGAGACCGCGAAATACTTTGTCGATGAAGCGATAGAATGTTTGTGCCGCATTCCGGGGACCGAATGGCATACGTAGAATTTCAAAAAGTCCGAAAGGCGTAATGATAGCTGTTTTCGGAATATCTTCCGTCGCCTTCGGGATTTGTTTGTACGCTTTAACTAAGTCTGTTTTCGAGAATATAGATGCTCCAGATAACGTTGCCCTCAAGTCGTGGATGTGAGGCAAAGGGTAGCAATCAGGGGTTGTTTCGGCGTTCACTCGCCGGTAATCACCAGTGGGTCGCCAATCGTTGCTATCCTTTTTCGGTACCATATGCAACGGGGATGCCCATGGACTATTCGATGGTCGAATGATGCCAAGGGTGAGCATATGATCGAATTCGTTTCTGGCAATTCTCAGTTTGTCAGGGGCCAGTCGTCGTGCTTTAGATGTCACGGGCTGTCCTGAGGTTATGATGTGGTGCATAACATTGCTGGTTATACACGGGAGATCGTTAGATGGGCAGTTAAGTAGAGGTTACCTATCAACAACCGGTTGGAATGTTGGGTCAGAGATTGCCTTCTTCTTAACGAGTGACAAGCTGGGATCTATCTGGGTGATTCCTTTGATAGACAGTCTAACGGTACTGTCTATCAGTCGTTTTCGGCTGACGTCTATAAATAAATCATGATGATTAATTAGGTATGTGCCAGTGATGGGCATTGTGACGTCAGCGAGAAGGAGAATCCACTGAA